TACCAACCGAGCGATTTGGTTATACGTGTTTCTGAAACGTCAATTTACTACAATTTTAGTCATGAGTCGCTTTATACCGAAACAATGCGCCGAAATAGTCACAATGTACATTGAAAACCCTCGTTCAGTTGGAGATCGTCAACATACCGTTCATCAACGGCCAAGACGTTCCAACGAATTGGTTGAAGCGGTCAGAGACAGCATTGCCCAGAACCCAAAAGTGTCGTTTCGTCACCGCGCTCAGCATTTTGGCATCAGTGGAACCACGTTGCGGCACATTTTGAAGGATGATTTGCATTTGTTTCCTTATGAGATGTAGCTAACACAGAAAGTATTGAAACACTGACCGTCCACGTCACTTGGAATACATCCAAACAGTTGCTCGCATGGTTGATGCTCAACTTGATATTTGGAAGCAAATTGTGATGACCGACGGGGCCCATTTCACGCTCTCTGGCGGCGTTCATAAGCAAAACTGCCGCATTTGGGGAACGGAAAATCCACGAAATGCCGTTGCATGACCGGAAAGTGACTTTTTGGGCCGGCGTTTGCGCCAAAACCATCATTGGGCCATTTTTCTTCAACGAAAATGAAACAGTCGATGGAAATCGATATCGGTGGATGCTGGCTCATTATGCCTGCCCACAAATGCGTGAAAAAGGTCTTGATGGTTACTGGTTACAACAAGACGGTGCGCCATGCCACACTGCAAATGAAACAATACAGTTTCTGCAACGATAATTCCCTGGACGTCTGGTGTAAAAAAGAGGTGATATTGACTTGCCACCCAGGTCTCCAGATTTGACCCCACCGGACTTCTTGTGGGGCACATTTTGTTTTAGCCAATAAATGTGGCCACTTGATAGATGTTGTGTTCAAAAACCAGTCCCAATAAATCGTAAAGGACCATATTTAATAAAAATACCCGATATATAGAAAATAGTTTTTCGTTTTCAAAGTCATTCCACGTTTACATACCGACATAAAGGATGCCGCACCCATGTGTCTGAAATATGTTTAATAAAGGGACAGAATTACCGGAGTTGGAAGTATAGTATAAGTATACTAACGCAAAAAAGTTTACCCTCCTCCACCTCCTACAACCCCCAACACCGAATCTTTGAACCCCACAATTATCTTTCTGAAAATAATCGGGAGTCTCTGAAACAACAAGGAACAAGATGAGCGGTGCTTTCCAAGTTATTGAGGCGTCAAGGATTAGCAGACAGACAGAGAGAGAGAGAGAGAATGAGAGAGAGAAACAGGTGCACCAAAGCGAATATTTTTCGCGACGTACCTGTCATGTTTTATCAAAAAAACATATCTGCGGTATCAAAATTTGAGACAAATGACTTGACCTTTAAATAAACTTCAAGCATACGTTCGATTCCACTGTTAGATGACCTTTTTCAAACCTTCAACTTTGTCTTACAGTATTTTGCTCTAGGAAACGTATTTTTTTGAGACGTTCAGATGCACCCAGACTTTTTTATATAGCCTGTGTAAATAAAATTAATGAACTTAAGTACATTTTGCCTCAGTAATGATGCAATAAAAAATATGAGTTCACAAGAACTCTTTTGTCCACACAAGTAGCTGGTATGTTATAAACCCGAATAATCATTGGTATACATAAAGGATAAAAATAAAAAAACGATGATAATCGATAAGTGCACAATATTAATGCAGATTTTTCAATATGCCGTAATTTAACTCAAGGGCGCTCCACTATAACAATCCAAGAGTCCATTCTGAAGGAGCGTTGTACCCCAACGACTTAGATTTAAGGAAACTACGGTAATCAAGTTACCCTTCTTTCAATGCAAGATATATACAAGTATTTTCATTGAAACCAGACAATTATTGTAGCAAGGAAGTGTCAATACTTAATGCAATAAAATCAGCAGTGCAAACATGAAACTCTTTCGATTTGCACTTTTTCCCTGCATTCATTTTATCGTTATGACAACAACAATTCACCATTAAGACTCTGTGTTATGGCAGTTGTCAGCCTTTGTGCATGCATAGCCTGGAGCTCCCCATCTGAGGTCCCACTGAATGAGAGTTGTATACCATGTGGACACTGTCAGTTGCCATCAACAAAATGATCTGGCACAGACACGCCCATACTTTGATAACGACACTCCAAATTAGTTTTCGGCAGCTCTATTTGTGATTGTGCAGGGATTCGGTGTTTAGTTTGATCATCAAGAATCGGTTCTATTAAATTTTATTTTATTTATTATTCTATTAATAATAATAAATAATGGTTACTGGACTCGCAGTCGCATAGGCATGCGTGGCCTGGTGTTTTCTCGTCAAGACTCACGTGCCAAAAATGCATAACAGAGCCATACGCACAATCACCAACGCACCGTGGTACGTTCCAGATGAGATGATTTACAGAGATACTAATATTTCATGCGTAAAACAACAGACGCAGCGGAGTAATAATCAAGCGACATCGCACACCAAACCCTATGTTGCGTGATACTAAAGACTACACAGTTGTGCAAGCTTTCAAGCATCTGAGGTCGTGCCTGTGATCAAAATTGAATTGTGAGTTTCTGATCAACTAAAATTATGTATTTACTAGACCTTAATCAAAATTACTAACGAGTAGTCAAAATTACTTTTTTATTTGATATATTGCTGACTTCCTTGCTTCACTTCTTTCTCTTCCCCCCTCCTTTCAAACGTCTGTGGTATCTGGGTAACCAGCCCTGACAGAATAACAGACTGACGATACTTTTAACCAAGAACACATTTCCACCAAAGCGCTCTGACAAACAAAGACGGAAATATGCAAGAAGACCGAATTAGTCTACTTGATGCAATTTTTAATAGGAATCGCACCGGCTTATGACGGGGCAAGTAAAAGAAATACAGTGGGGTTGTACACCCTCAAAATGAAATTATTTCGCTACGCTGGTGCCGGTTTCGCTTTAATCAAATACTGCAAAAAGATGAGAACGCTCCCAGCACACAAATGTTTCAATTTTAAACTTTAATAATTCCAAGTCTATAATCTGTCGAAATTGAATTGAAGAAGTTTCTTTGATACCCCCTCAAGATAAATTTTCGACCAGATTTCTCTTCTCCTGTGTCTTTTTCCTTTTATAAACGTAAGTTTCAATATTTTCCCGTTTAAAAGGACTTCCTTTAGTGGAAGACCGGAGATCCATTTAGCTATGAAGAGCACATCTTAAATCGTTAAAAAACTCTGGTTTAGCATAGGTAGTTGTTAAAGCCATTTTGCATTTTTCATTTTAACTAGATTCTACCATATCGTTAAATCATGGACGTTTAACGAATTGCGCATCCACAATCAACCACATCGTAAAATAGGGTAAACGTGTTGCTTTAGTTCCTCCGACCAGTGACGGGCAACCATGGACAGCTGTTTCGTGTTTTTTGGCAACTCATCAGCATGGTCTAAGCCTGGTCTCTGGGACAACGAAAGCATAGCAGCTATTCTCTATCTGAGGTAAATGATCTATCTAAATAATCTGTTACCAAAATTGGCCACAGCGATAGTGTATAGTTTTGAAAATCAGCCTAGTGGTAGCGGAACTAGAGGCAAAAGACGAAATAACCAAATCGGCCAAGTTCGTTCTTGAACATTGAATAGGCTCCTACCATTTTCATAGTAGGGGTTAACAATTGGGGCTTAGGGTGAGTAGATAAGTAATGGAAAAAATTTAGCAGCAGATTTCTCTCTAAGAAGTATTGAGATTAAGTTAAATTTTCTTAGTCCGAAAGTCAAAGATAACCAAGATACAAGGTGATAAGCTTATTTTTCTTTATTTTGGCCATGAATTTAGCATAAATTCTCCGTTTTTAAGGAAATTATGGCATATGAGGGTTTTTTATATGACAAATATAAAAATGGAACTCTTCTCAAATTATCTTATACAGGACGCCACCAACAACATTTTCTGTTTTTTAAATTTCTTTTTAATGCTTAGGACAATTTAATTTTTTATTTAAAATATGCATTGTGCAATCATTTTTTCTTAAAAAAGGTACACTTTAAAAATCTCGCTATAATTCACCCTTTTCGAGATATCTACATTTAAACCTTTCAATGCACTCAACAAAAAATCACATCCATAAACTATTCAAATTCCTTTATTATACTTCGAATTAACGGTAAAATACAAACGATGAATTAACTCAAAATTAAAGATTAATCAGAAATACAAATTATCGAATATGGCCAGCAAATTTTCGAGATGACCTCCAATTCTCTCAACACATTTTATTTTGAATTTTTGCCATTAATTTGTCTCTTGTGTTTACTGTATTTTCGTAAGTAATTGATTCCATATATTCCCATACGCAAAAATCTAATGGGTTAGAATCTGGACTTCTTACAGGCCAAGGTTTTCGACGTCCACGTCCTATCCAGTTAAAATTAGCCTCAAGATATTCTCTCACCGGTCTAGCAAAGTGCACACGATCTTGCAAATCTCAGCGCAAATTTAAAGGTAATTCTTCTAAATAATCAATGAGTTTTATTTTTAAGAAGTTTGAATATAATTCTCCGTTTACATTTGGAGGTAACTCGTATGGTCCCAAAAAAATGTCTATTACACCACACCAAATATTAATTTTAATTTCGTGTTGAAAGTGTCTTTCAGTAAAGAGGTTAGGATTTGCAATATCCCATGAATGACTGTTTCTATAATTAAAAATTCCCCTTCGAGTAAGAGTCGCTTCATCCGTAAACATAATTTTATTTTGTTGAGCCTAGAAATGGCGGGCAAAATCTAGTCTTGCTGGACGATCTGCATCCAAAAGATTTTGTAGGCATAAAATGATATGGATAAGGATGTTCGCGATTAAAAATTCTCAAAACTAGTGATTTGCTAATTCCAGTTCTTGCTGCTATACGTCCTACGCTTCTGGATCTTCAGCAACCTGGATTAACACTTCTTCTCCGTGATCATTTCACGTTCCACTGATTCACTTTTTTATTTGGTATATTGTTGACTTTCTTACTTCCACATTATGTCTATTTGGACGTCCAATATCCCGTTCTGGCATGAATGAACCAGTCTCTCCAAGTCTCTGGTAAACGTTTTTAAATAGTTTAAAATCTGGCTGCCTCCTATTTGGATACAATTGAACATAACGTCGACAAGCTCATGCATTTCCGAATTAGAAAATAATGCATGTCTAGGCATTTTAAACCAAAGTGGTAAATAGACAATGAACACTGGAGGTAATACTAAAAGTACGTAATAAAAGGTAATATATTACGGCACTAAACTTGAGTTTGTATTTTTATAACCACGCAATCAAAGTAACTGACAAGAACGTAAACCGTGACGGTGACCAATGACGTTTACAACTCATTTCGTCAGACATAGCCTACTTAAAGAATATTTTAGCTTAGGAAAATAAAAATTTATCTTGAGCGCATTGAAAACTTTAAATGTCGAAAAGGGTGAATAGCGAGATTTTTAATGTATACCTTTTTAAGCAAGAATGATTTCATAATGCATATTTAAATAAAAAATTAAATTAAACCAAGCGTAAGAAAGTTTCGAAGTTTAAAAAAACCGAAAGTGTTGCTGGTGGCGCCCTCCATAAGAGAATTTGAAAAAAGGTAAATTTTTAGATTTGCCATATAAAAAACACTAATACGGCAAATTTCGTTAAGAACTAAGAATACTCGTAAATTCCAAATTATGGCCAAAACTAAAAAGAATTACAATAAGTTTATCACCCTGTATCTTGGTTGCCTTTGACTTTCGGACTAAGAAACCTTAACTTGTTCTCAATAGGAATCTCCTGTTATTATTCACCATTACTCACGGGACACGCTGTATAACTCAATTTTTTGGAATTAGTATATATCCTCGTGCATTTCCTCTTAAAATTTGGGAACTGAAATATTTCAACTCTGAATATACCTGGGGCAGAAGAGAAATTTATAGATCATCGTTGTCAAATGGGAGGGGACTATGCGTAGGCCTGTTTGACTGACTAGATCTACCTAGCCTTTTTGCTATACATGTTCTTATCTGACTTTTTCTTTCAGAGAGGTCACCGTATGCCGAGCATAATCCTTCATGAACAAATGACATAGTTCCGCGGGAAGAACATTCCTAGACGGGCCCAACTTTATGAAATTGGCTTTCCCAAATTAGATTAGAGGAGATATTGTACAGCATAATTAAGGACCTAATTCAAATGCATCGTCCAGATCCCTGTCTGTTTTTACTGACCTATAACGATACCCCCGTAGAGCCCCACAAACTGATAACGATCCGGCAGCATTGCGTTTTGCCGCAATTAGCGCAAAGTATGGAGTGGATGAAAGCTTTATTCTTCTTCTACATCGCCACTGCAAGCTGTAAACTTTATGAAGTATATTTAGCCGATGTAGCGGTAATTCCACTAAATTATATGAATGGAGTGATCAGTGACGTGACTCGCCGTTACAGTTTCATAATTAAAAAAGTTTCGCATAAAATATTGAATATTGGAACTCGCTAATTAACCTAAAGGTCAATGATTCGATCGCGTTTTGTATAGTTTCATTACCGTGATGACTAGACAGAGTCCGCCTATAAGAGGTCATCTTACCGTACAACAGCTTGTCCGCTTTCTATCAACTGTCTCCAAATCGCTAGTCCTATAACGTACTGATAATTGCTAAAAACCATGAAACAACTTTGACGTAATGCAGATTCAGTTCAGCCTGCATAAATTATTAGACCGTGATAATTAACCCTGCAAAACTTTTACAATGGTACACGTACGAAGGCTTCACAAATATAGGCCTTACAAATAGCTTAACGCCAAAACCTAAACTTATCTGGATACTGGTCTTATCTGGAATGGTCTTCTTCCAGTTACAGCTATAGATGCAGCTGAGATATCCTCAGCCCACAAGCGCTCTGGTCAAAAACCAGTGGGTAGTGAGCAGTGAGTAAGGAACGTCACAAGGTAGGGGCTTCTTGCCTTGTTTCGAAAATTTACGGTATATGAATAAAACCATAGAGAGAGAAATACTGTTTAAATATCTACTCTCTACTCTCTCTGAGACAAAACTGCAAACTTAAAACACTCAAACCTTGAAGAAAAATCCATGTACATTCTCTGTTACTAAAAATTTACTTTTCTTTCTGCAAGAGCAAGAAAAGATAAAAATATACAAAAGTGATATACCCTCAGAAAGTTATCAATTGTTCCAAAGTTATGGCAGCTCAAAAATCAAAATCATGATTAATGTAATGTAATAAGCCCAAAAAACGGTGACATGTAGTCACTACCCTATATTTAAATACGTAAAATGCCAAACAAAATCAAGAACACTCTAATAATCTCAGTCAGCAACAATCAATATATAAATATACGAGGGCGGTTCAATAAGTACCCGTGTTTGATGAAAGACGGCGTTCCTGAGAGAAGTTAATGTTATCATCACGTGCTGCCATCTATCAAACTACGGCAATACAAATTTCAGACCAATTCCTAGGTTAGTTTGGATTTTTTTTTTTTTTTTATATATCGAAACAGCCGCGCAGGCAGAAGCCTAAATGCCGGAACACCGCGGCTGCTATGATGATCCCAAAGAAATTTTGTTAATACGATTTTTGAACTGCCTAAGGTTAGTAGAACTGGGAAAAGCTTCCTCCCGTAGAATGTTCCACAATCTAGACACCCTCGGGACAAAGGAGTGGTCGTATCGGCCAGTTCTGGATGTACGAAGTTTGACACGGTTAGGATGGGACGCCGAAGTCAGGCGGGTCTGTCTGGCAGGCACATCGCGCGGCGGCATCATGGAAGAGAGCTCTGAGGAGCAAAACCCGTTGGTGTAGCGATAGAAAAGAGCTAGATCGCCGACGGCCCGCCGGTGCGAAAGAGTCCCGAGACTGTCTGTTAGAGAAGAGTCATCGATCAGTCGGACCGCCCTCCTCTGGACGGCATCGAGCATGGACAATGTAGTCGGGGCGGCAGCACCCCAAATGTGTGAGCAATACTCGAGGCTAGGCCTTATCTGGGCCTTGTATAGAGTGAGAAGGTCATGCGGAGAAAAGTATTTCTTAGCCCTAAACAAATAGCCTAGCTTTTTCCCAGCAGCTGCAGCTATTGAAGAGATGTGTTCGTGCCAGATCAGGTCCTCGGTGATCTGGACTCCGACCAGCCGAAATGAATGGCTCTTTGGTAGAACTCGACCGTCCATCGAAACTGTATGAGCGCTAGGACGCTTTTTGTTCGTCAAAGTACAGTACTGTGTTTTGGAAGCATTGAACTGTACAAGATTGTTGCGTCCCCAAGCAGTGATAGCCTCCAGGTCTCTTGTCAGAGAAGAAGTCGTCGCTAGTCTTCTTTTTTCCAGATCAGCGGCAGAGATCGGCTTGTCACTCTGAATTCCTGCATGTAGAGTGCTGTCATCAGCGAAGCTGTGGATTGGGTTGATCGTGCAGGAAAGGAGGTCGTTGATATGTAAGAGAAACAGTGTTGGAGCCAAGACCGATCCCTGGGGAACACCCGCGTTGACGTTGTGGGATGAAGAGGAGAATCCGTCAATTACGACGGATATCTTGCGGCCAGAGATAAAGTCAGCCACCCATCTGCAAAGCTTTTCTGGGAGGCCGTAGGATGGAAGTTTGCTTAAGAGGGCAGCGTGCCACAGCTGATCGAACGCTTTCGTGATGTCAAGAGCAACGACATGAGCCTCACCATGAGACTGGATGAGTTTACTCCACAGTTGCGTGACGTAAGCTAGGAGGTCCCCTGTGGATCGTTGGTGCCGGAAACCGTACTGCCTGTCGCTAATCAAGCTGTGACGTTCGAGGTAGTCCAGAAGCTCGCGATTTATCCACCTCTCCATCACTTTACTTATAACAGAAAGCAGAGCTATAGGCCTGTAGTTGTAAGGGTCGGTTTTAGATCCTTTTTTTGGGATGGGCTGTACATGAGCAAATTTCCAGTGTTCTGGGAAGGTGCCGGATTCATAAGATATCTGGAAGAGACGCGAAAGAACTGGAGCAAGCTCCGCTGCACATCTCTTCAGTACAATGGCAGGAATCAAGTCCGGACCAGAAGATTTGTTGATGTCGAGCGACAACAGCACTCGTCTTACGGTCTTATGCCTGAATGTTACCTCCCGCATAGTGTGGGGAACCTTTTGAATTGACGGCACTTGGGCGTTGGTGGGGACGTCGATGGTGGAGTTGGCAGCAAAGATCTTGGCTAGCACTTCCGCCTTGGCCTTTGAGTCGAATACAATAGTTCCATCCTGACACGTAAGTGGTGGAAGGCTACTGTGTGAGAAGTTCTTTTCAATCTGCTTGGCCAGCGTCCAGAAAGACCGACTGCCATTGCGCTGCGACATTACCCTGTGCCTAACTTTTATATCATGCTGGTTTTTGGCATTGCGAACCGCTTCGTTATATTTGTTTCTGGACTCGACATCGGCTTGTCTGTTCTCTACAGTGGGGTTTTGTAAGTAGGTTCTGTGGGCCTTGATCTTCTGCTGGCGAGCAGTGTCACACGATTTGTTGAACCAGCCGTTGGACCCTGGTTTAGGAACTTTCACTGTGTGAGGGATGTATTCCTCCATTCCGACGTGGATAATTTCGGTTATTGAAGAACAGACTGTCGACGCATCCGCGTCAGTGAAACAGACATCTCTCCAAGGAAAGCTAGAGAAGAAGTCTCTGAGCCCCTCCCAGTCGGCATGTCCGTAATGCCAAGTTTTGGGGCCTGTGCGAGTTTCTGCTGCCACAGCGGCTTCTGACCGAAACCTAACCTCCACAACACCGTGATCTGAGTTACCCAGGGGGGACAAGACAGCAGTGCTGTAAGGGGCAGGATGCGTGGTCAGAAAGAGATCCAGCAGGCTACTGGCGTGTGACGAGACGCGGGGGAAAAAAGTAGGGCTCGTCACCAGCTGGGTCAGCCCTTGAGTAAGAGCGAACGCTTCGACCGCACGACCTGCTGCATCGGTCTTATTTGAGCCCAACCAAAGCTCATTATGGGCATTGAAATCACCGAAAGAACTACCTCTGAAGCGAGTAGGTCATCCCAGTTATGGTTCGATGGAGAGCGATAAAGGCAGCAAATAAATTTGGGTGATGTTTTGGAGTTGAGGCGAAGCCACAGAATGTCCTTCCGGTCTGATTCCAAAGAAAGATCCCTGGAGCAGGAAAGACTGCTGCGGGCAAAAGCCACAACTCCCCCGTTCTTTCTCAGATTTGAGTGCACCTCGTA